CTTGTCTGCAGCTGATCTGGGCACAACAGTTTTGATACTCATCAAGTAGAAAGTTTGCTTAAAAAGTTAAACATTAAAGATGTTTCAGTCACAATTGCGTAAGCTGAACCAATTTAGGTCTATGGTATTGGCTATTGTTTCTGCTGTTAATCATTAGTTCTCTTCAATTAGGGTATTAACAAGATTAATTTCATCTTTCTTTTTTTAATTTATTTTATTTATTTTGTAATCTCTTTCAAGATTAATTTTTTTCCCTCTCAAATTGATGTGGATGGTCTGCCACTGCCTGCTTGGCTTCATCTTCAACATCATTTTGTTCCTTCTTAAAATGAGTTATTTATTTGTAAACTGCTGATTTCTTTGGGGCATTGTTCCCATAAACTTTTCATAAAGCATTAATAATTTCATCATACTTCCACCCATGCTTCTCCATATATTTGATGTTTGTCCTCACTTCAATTTAGCAGAATTCATGTTGTTCTGATAGAGGCTCTTTTTAAACTGATGTCTTATCTTTCTTAGTACCTCAAACTAGATCCTGTTTAGACATACTATAACAAGTTAGTATGAGTTTATTTTGGTGCAAAAAAAATTTTGAAATCCATGCATAATTTTTTTCATAATACACATTTTTTTTTTTTTTTTTACCTTTTTGTCTTTTTTCGTGACCGGTAACGGGATTGCAACCCTTGGTGTCGCGCCCACACCACGCTCAACCAGTGAGCGGACTGGTCTCTATATGGGATCTGAACCCTCGGCAGGAGCGCCGCTGCACTCCCAAGTGCCGCACTCTACCGAGTGCGCCACCGGGCCGGCCCATAATACACATTTTTAATGAACTTTTTGAAGACCCCTATAAAAAAGTTGTGCATGAATGATCATACCAACATTATTCATAATAGCCAAAAGATGCAAACAACCCAAATGTCCATCAACTGATGAATGCGTAAAGAAAATGTGGTATATGTACACAATGAGATATTATACAGATATAAAAAGAAATGAAGTACTGACACATGCTTCAACATGGATGAACCTTGAAATGAGCCAGCACCAGTACCATATATTGCATGATTCTATTTACATGAAATGTCCAGAATAGGTAAAGCTATATAGACAGAATTAGATTAGTGGTTACTGAGTTTCGGGGGTAAGGGGGTTTGGGGGTTGATGACTAAGTGATAAATGGTTTCCTTCTGGAATAATGAAAATGTTCTAAAATTGATTGTGGTGATGGTTGCACAACTCTGCCAATATACTAAAAATAATTTAATTGTACACTATAAATTAGTGAGTTGCATATGTAATTTATTGAATTGTATCTTTATTTACATCAATAAATCATCAAAATGCTCAATGACATGTCTACGTTCAGAGTACTGGGTCAGGTACCACAGATTCTGTATTTTGATAATAACTAATATTTTGAGTGCTTATTTTTCTCCAGGAATATTCACAGCTGTTAGCTGGGAGCTGGTACATGATACACACAAACACACACACACACACTCACACACTGAATATACATATATATATCAGTATTTATTGAATACACATATACATATATGTATATTCAACAAATACTGGCAGCAAATTTCTAAGGTAAGCCTAATTATCATTCCCATTAGTAGAGAAAAGCAAATTTGAAGCTCAATAAGGTGATATAAATTGCCTGAATATAAATAATATAAAGGTGCAGAGGAGATGATTCTGGTGGAAAGGAACCAGCATCCTGGAGGATAATGGAAACTGTGGGGCCTGCTCTCCTAAGGCCAGTGAGGACTTCTTGGGGACATGAGGAGGAAGGGAGTAAGAAGATAAAAGAATTGTTCTGTCTGTTTATAGTCTATTGACTAAGCTGATGCACTTTCGGGCTGTTTTTCTGTCAGATCTAGTTCCAGGAAATTGCAAAAGATTTTTGATATTGAATCTCTGGAGAAAAATCACCACCTTGTTGAGGTTATCCCCATAAGAGACAGGTCCTAGGGGTTAGATGAGGTTAGCCCCTTGTCCTACCCTCATCTCACCCTCCCATCCCCCTTCCTTGTAAATACGTGAGCAAAGTTCTCAGCACTCAGTGTGCCCTCAAAAACGACAGCTGCTATTGCAGCATACCATACAACATCACATTCTGTTATATTATTATTCATCATTGCCACTGTCATCTGGGGGTTGTCATAAATCCAGTCTGCAGTGGGCTAGACCAGATACTGGTAAATTCACATTAGACAGAATATCTTCTGGCCAATAAGGATCTTTCAGGTTTTTTTTTTTTTTTTTTTTTTTT